GGTGCGAAAACCAATTTTTGCTTCTGAATTCGACCAGGCAAGCCGACAGACCCCAACAGTCCAGCAATGCTGTTTTTTGTGGGTTCGGAAAAAGAAACCTAGGTCAACACGTGTCCTAAAACACTTTGGCAGCGACTTAAGTGTTGAACAGCAGGCAGGGGGAGTAGGAGGGATTTAATGGTTTCCGAACCACAATCGTCCTCAGAGAAAAATTACGATCGCGGTGGCCGTTTCTGGGTGGTAATAGCAGGTGAAATGAGAGGGCTGGACCGTGCAGAACCGAGACCTCCCATTTGGCATCCGTTTAGTTGCACTTAATCTAATAATACAGCCTGCAGCTTGGTTTCTTTCGCATTGCAAGTGTTTCTACTTCGTCTCCAACCCAGAGGACTCGTCAGCCTAAATGATCCTGGAGACGAAAGCATTACGTTCTTATAGGTATAGCCCTACAAATGGTGAATTATTTGGATAAATTTTGTCTTGAGGACGCAGAAGGCCGAAGCCGTTCGTCAGTTGGCCGGAAAGCCGATTGCTAAAATTAGAAGCCAAGACAACGCGTGAATAGTTTGGCAATTGCTTTCTGCATAAAGGGAGTCCCTGACCTTGAATGTCTGAAATATCTTCCACGGCCCTCCGCTATACTCGAGAAAGTACCCATGCGTATCCGTGCATTTGGGTTATGTACAACTGAAAGTAGTAAACATCGTGTAACTCATACATTTTTTGCGTAAGTTACTAAAACCTTATTACTAATTACATTGAATGTGTCGAGAAACTGGCATAAATCACTGTCCTAAGATGCCAAGGCTACACGTTCAGAAGATACAATGCTGGCTTCCCTCCTGTTACCATAAGCTTACTTACCCTTCTACGCATGCCGTTACCATGTTTTCCGGGTATTATCCTCGATACTAAGAATATTTCAGCATTATTTGAAAAAGTCCTAGTGGTTTAGATTGTGAAGGGTTGCACTCCAGGCATTTAGTTGGCTCTCCTCCGCCCGCCCCCC